TGCCTTTTCAATCGTTTTTTTTCTTTTTTGGCTTTTTTTTTTTTTTTTTTTTTGTTATCTTTTCTCTCCAGTGGAGATTCATGAGTACTGGCTCTGTGTTGAACTGCTAACAAGTCTGTGAATTGGGTTGTTAAGGTTACAAGCTGATGTGAAGCTTCTTGGTACATTCCAGCATGTGAGAATATTTTGGCTGCATTTGAAAACTTTACGACCAAGGGAATCTTGGGAACCAGATTTGACACTTCTTTGCTTTTCCATTAGAAGAAAATATTTGCGGATTTTGGTAGGGATGCCTTCTGAATTGTTTCAGACCGAATTGCTTGAGGGCTTGCTAAAAAAATAGATAAAAAGGACGTTGCTTCCTCTTCTATAATTCCTCGAGTGTGAGTAGTAATATTGAAATATATATATATATATATATATATGTATATATTTCAATATTACTACTCCCACTCGAGGAATTATAGAAGAGGAAGCAACGTCCTTTTTATCTATTTTTTTAGCAAGCCCTCAAGCAATTCGGTCTGAAACAATTCAGAAGGCATCCCTACCAAAATCCGCAAATATTTTCTTCTAATGGAAAAGCAAAGAAGTGTCAAATCTGGTTCCCAAGATTCCCTTGGTCGTAAAGTTTTCAAATGCAGCCAAAATATTCTCACATGCTGGAATGTACCAAGAAGCTTCACATCAGCTTGTAACCTTAACAACCCAATTCACAGACTTGTTAGCAGTTCAACACAGAGCCAGTACTCATGAATCTCCACTGGAGAGAAAAGATAACAAAAAAAAAAAAAAAAACCCTAACTTCCTAGCAAAAGCAAGGCCCGAAGCCCATTATTTTCCCACTTCACACGTACTAAATGCCCCTCTCTGTTTCCAAACCCTGTATTAAATGCAGCAGCTGGAAAATCCACCCACCTTCCGCAAAGACAATCTCTCCTAATCCCCATACCTTTCTCTTTTCTCACCCCTCAAATGGACTCCCACTCCCTCTTTAAACCCAAATGTCCACCCCCACCACCACAATCCCCTCCACTTTCTCCGCCACCTCCCCTCCTCCCCCTACTAATTACCTCACCAACCTTGGCCTTGGCTATTCCATAGCCATAGCCCTTTTCTTTCTCGTACTTCTCTCCACCATCCTCCTTGCTTCTTACATATGTTGTCGCACCACCCGCCATCGTTCTCGCAACTCTAACAACAACAACAGTAATTATTCAAACTCTACAGCCGATGGCATAATACTTCCTCGCATTATTTTCGTTGCCGAAGATGACGAAGAACAAGAACGTGATTTAGAAAGTGCTGCTTTAGGTCTCAACCAGGCTGTTATCAACTCGTACCCAAAACTCCAGTTTAGTAAAGATGGTGGGTTCAGTGAAAGAACCAATAATTTTTGTAATACTTGCTCGATCTGTTTGTGCGAGTATAAAGATTTGGAGATGTTAAGAATGATGCCTGATTGTAGGCATTATTTTCACTTGCTTTGTCTTGATGCCTGGCTTAAGCTTAATGGGTCGTGTCCCGTTTGTCGGAACTCACCGTTGCCTACTCCGCTTTCGACACCGTTGTCGGAGGTTGTGCCTTTGTCGCAGTACGCAGCGGATCGGAGGAGGAGGTGATTTTGGTTTGATGTGGTTTGGGCGTGGAACGTGGAGTGTTGGGTTGTGTTTGGAAATGGAGAACTGTAAATTTTTGGGTTTTGAAAAGGCAGTAGGGGAATTGGATTTACTGATTTGTGATTTTGGATTGTTCTAAACTGAAACGTCTGGAAAATCATTTGACTAGGAGCTTTTTTTTTTTTTTTTGGGCAATGAAGTCTAAATCATTTGACTAGGAGCTTTTTTTTTTTTGGGGGGGCAATGAAGTCTAAGAATTGGAGTGTTATTTTTGTTTGTTTCCTTTGAATTTCACCTTTACTGTAACAATGATTGACTTTTTCATCGATTGCAAGATGTTTCTGATTCTTTTTCTTTGTCTTGTTCTATTCAACTTCTGTTTGGTTGTTCTACTCACATTCCTTGCAAAAGCAATGTCTGAGACTTTCTAGCTCAATAAAGTATTCTTTCTGATTTTCTTCCTAGATTGCTTTTGCAGTTTCAGACACCCTAAACTTCAAATTTTTAAGCACGGATCTTAGTTGCACTTTGCATCGGTGCTTCTTTCTTCATTCCTTTCCTTTTTATTTCTCGATGATTCACGGGTCATTCACATGGATGTGCAAGAATCTGGTAGTCCTTCCATGATCGTAGCCATATGAAGGAAATTTCGTATTCAGGATATACATATAAGAAAGAGAAGTACATGCATCCCGCAACCATTTTAGGTGTGCTTAGAGCGTAGTTATGGTTGTAGTTATAGTTTTCCAAGTACAAAGCGAACCTATTCTTGTCCTACACTTCTACCTACGTGTCTTGCTGTGCTTCTATTTTTTAGTTTAAGTTGAGACTCTCGTTGTAGCCAACTGTAACTGATTCTACTAGTGTGCATTGGACCATTTCTCCTCAGAACCTTGCTTTTTCCTGCAAGCGTTGCAGTGAATACGTTTTTGCGAGAAAATTGGAGGCAGTAAGGAAACGAGATTGACCACGTAATGTACAAAGTGTGAATTCTACAACTTCTTATTGGTAATTTTCATTCTTGGTGACCACGTAATGTACAAAGTGTGAATTCTTCAACTTCTTATTGGTAATTTTAATTCTTGGTATTTTAGCTTTTTTTTTTTTTTTAATCTCTATTGCTACTCTGTCTAAATTCTGCTCTATTAGATCTCTTTTTATTTCTAATACCTTCTGCAATCATGTATATGCTGAGTGTCAAAGCGGAGTTCAGAGTGAAGTAGTAATAGCTGCTGAAACTATTGTTAAAAAGATCCACAAAGAAATGAATGAGATGAGAGATTTGTCAATAAACTCATCGCCAGAAACCCTCGTGTCAAGATACAGTGCTTTTCCTACTGGAATTGTGAGGCTTACTGAGTCATTAAAGACAACAGGAAATCCTCAGGAAAACAGTGAATCAGAGCTGTCCATACTCTAGTAAGACAGCAACGGTTGGATGAAGTTGTAGAGTTTTTTCTAATGAAGAGATTCGTTAATATGTAAGGATCAAACACTGCCGTTTAGATAAACAGAAATGGAACGTTCACGAGCATCGGCCATGCTTGTTTTGCAACGAAGAAAGATTTTGAAGAGTACATGGATATTATGGTTCATGGACGCGATCCATTACCGATCGGAGGTGGTGCTTCGCAAGGGGCTCGCAGCTTTACAGCAAGCCATTACCCATAATCGACTCCATGTGCAAGCTACCTGACAATTGAAAAGTCCGATGGAGCCAGTACAGATGCAAGAACTTTACGTGCCTTGCTAGGGCCTTGCTAACCAATACACCTCGCAAGGGATTCTTTAAGCGTGCAGATTGCTTCAATCTCTCGGGCCAGGAAACGCCAAGATGGATCAAACAGGTAGAACCTGATCCCGATAAATCTTATAGCAGATTTTCTGACACCTGAAGTTCTTGACATCAAGCGAGGTGAGATCAGAATCGGATTGGATTTCAGTGTAGGAACTGGGACTTTTGCAGCATGAATGAGAGTTCAATGTCCTGATAGTCTCAGCAACTTTTATCTTGGTGCAGCTTTTAATGAAATGGTTGCTCTTCGAGGACTTGTACCTCTTGACCATAAATCAACGGCTTCCATTCCTTGATAATACTCTGGATTTGTTACACACAGATAGATGGATAGATTTTGTGCTCTTGATTTTATATTGTGTGGTTGGGATAGAGTTCTGAGTCCAGGAGGGTTCGTTATGGATTGACAGCCTTTTCTGTTTGAAGGAAGATTTGGATGATTATTTGGAAGCCTTCAAGATGCCAAGGTATGGGAAGCATAGGAGGATAGCTGTTCCAAAACTGAACAAGAATGATCGACTAGTGTGCTTTTCTGCTGTGCCAGAGAAGCCACGGAGACCGATTCGTTACCAACACATGCCAAAGCATTCCTTTTGGTTTCTGACTCGGGATCTCCAATTACCATCGCTTCCACCTCGAGTCCTTGCTAAAAGATCATCGCCGCGCCCCATTCGCTTTAATTGGTGATTTATTAGGACATTAAATTCATGTTTTTCCGGTTAATTTAGTTATCTTTACATTTCACAGTCCTATATGGTTGTTGTCTGCACATTTTAGAACCATTGTACTCCGTGGGAGATACAGGTCCTCCCACTTCGATACATCTAATTTCTTGCCTTCTTTTCTATACAACGGGCCAGATATCATAAACATAACTCTAACTGTACAACGTATAAACCCAAATTTATCATGCTAAAAAACCTCTTCAAAGATCCTATTATTCAGGCACAACAAGTCTATGGGCTTGCTATAGATAGCTTGTCTAAACTTTTTTTTTTCAATTTTTAATGGGCTCGAATGATTTTCACAAGCTTAACTCTTTATTAAAAAAAATCTCGACACCTTATTATTTTATATTATATTATATTAATTTAATATATATTATTTTAAGTATAATAAAATTTAAAATATTATAATAATAAAATTATACTTCAGCTCATCTCCACACAAAAATATAATATAAATTCTTTAAATTTAATGTTCATAATCTCTTATATATATATATATATATATATATTCAAAACCTATTTTAAAAAAATATTATAATATTTTTTAAAAAAAATTATTAACTTAAATATTTAAGATTCCTCGTATTCATTAAATGAAATATTTTTTAGATACCTATTATCAATCATTTAAATTTTTTATATAAAATCACTATATATTTTAACTAAAAAACATATATTATTTTACTTGAATCAAGAGATCAACGGGTTATAAAATAAATAAATCTTGTAACTGAGTATCTTGAATTTTAGAACCTGACGAATAAGATTTTGAAGTTGTGGAGCAAAGGTGAAGGATGTTTTCCAAAATATTTTTTGTACAATACTGAAAACAACCTTGAAAAAGATACATGGTATATATGTATGTCTGTATTGAATGATAGTATGCTCGTGAAACCCAGAAAGGTGTACGTTTCCCCGTTGATGCTATTTTGACTGCTCATTTATATATCCTTTGCCGAATTATATTCACAATCTTGCACACTCACCTTTTATTAAATGTTTTGCCTTTTAAAATTACACAAAAGCACAATATAGAGAAGGTGATTTTGAGTACCTACACTTGTCTAATTTTTACAATCAAGTACCAATCTTTAATTTTCTTCAAGTATTTATTTGATTTTTTTCCCGCACAATAAATTATTCGAGCGAATGCATGTTAGTCGAATGCTAAAGTGTGCGTCAAGGCGATGATATGAACATTCACACATAATATAACAATTATTGAATGTGAAGACTCTGTTTTTTTACGCATTTGAGATATAATTAAATGAACGAATCATGCAATGAACAAGGTGAAACTAAAAGTAAATGATGTTATACCTAAACTAGAAGTGATGACGCATATCATCACTATATATATATATATATGATTAGTAAACATTTACCTGGACAGCGGGCACTTTATTACGTGAAATAAAAAGATCAGACAACTAATTTAATAGAATTAAATAGTAGATGCTCAGTTGTAAAAACCAGATAAATTTAGTCATTTAAAATCGCTTTATCCTAATACAATGCGGTACAGCACCAATAATTGATGATCTTTTCATATTTCATAGATTGACCGATTAAATTGTTCTTCGCTTTACCGGTGATTTTTTTGGATTTTAATCCTGAGATACAAACTCGGAAAATCAAAAGAAAAAAAGACAAATCTTTTTAACCATCGTAGCATTAGCCGCATTTTGGTTCGATAGTGACCTTCTTCCAAGGCTTTCCCCCCCGTTGCCATCTCCAGCTTTCGGACGAGGTCTCGACATTCTGTCTTTTCATTTGATTTGGACCTGATAAGTCCCTCAATTGCAGGCCAAGGATCGCCCCTTGCACAGTTACAGTAGCCCGTCTTTGTGCCATTTCTTGTATCTTATAAAAATAAAAATATTAATTTAATTTTTCAATGCTATTTTACTGATTCACGAAAAATACTAGACAATATGATAAAGTATTATTTCTCTTGTATGAATGACATGAACAAATACTGAGCTATTACAGAATATTATTTATTATAATAATATTTTTTTACTAGTTTTTTTCTTTGATTATTTTAAAAAATCTATTTTTTTTTCAGTTTATTTCACATGAGATCTCTTGATTCATGTCACAAGTTTGATGAATTTATCAATGTTGATTTAAGTTATTTTTTTAATTATTTTTTTTTAATTTTATTAATGTTAAGTTAATTGAGAATTGTTTGAGTTATTTTTAAATTTGTTAAATTAATTGAATTGTTAAAATACTTGTGCCTGATATATTAAAATATAATTAATTTTCTCTTAATAACTTTTTATTGATAGATTACACATAAAAAAAAAATCATTTTTTTAACACTAAAAGCTCGTTGCTTATTCGACTCTTCTACGTGGCATTTGTCTTTGGAGATCTAATAGGGATTAGGTTTTGATATGTGTTTTCACATGTACATCATTTAACTATGTTGCATTACTTTTTTATAATTTTTAACACATTACTTTGAATTATTTATAAATAATATCTTGAGCATTTATTAAATTAAAATGTTTATTTTTAACTAGATTAAATATTTTTATATGAAGCTTGATAATTTGTAGTTAATTTAGTTTGTCCGGGTTTTAAAACATATAAATAAATCCTAAATGCATTAAAATAAAAACTACTAACATAATAAAATAATTACGAGCTAGGATATATCATATATGTGCGTAACTTGCTTTCACTTTTTATAATTAGATCTCTTAAAAATAATAATTATTAAAAACTAGCACAAATTTATTCACTGATATATTTAAACATAAAAATATTTTTTATCACGTGTTGTTATGAAAAGACCATGTATTTCTTGCAAAAAAGATAAAAAAAAAAATTAAAACGGAGCTTTATTATTTACTGTAATGTATATGGTACTTGTTCTATTTCTTTTTTTTTAAAAAAAGCAAGACATTTTTATTTGGCTGGCATTTGAATTATAATTTACCATGGAAAGAAACAATAAAAAAAAACCTAAAATATAAAACACAATAGAATATAATCACATGAACGAACAAGTTCTTTACGAGACACCCACTTTTCTCTTTCCTGCTTCACAGTTCCTTTTGTTTTTTAAATTTTGATCTTGGTCTTCGACTTTATCTTCTAGTCTTTGTATTTAAAAGATGCGAGAGAAAGCTGCTAGAAAATAAGAGAAAGTTGTTGACTGATTAAGTTTTAATTATAAAAAAAATTATTTTTAGTACTAATTAAGATAGTTTTTTACCTTCATCTTACTATAAAAAAATACATTAAGGTTGGAAGAGAGAGGTTTTTAATTTCAATTTGATATTGTATTTTTTACATATTTTGGGTGTTTTCTCGTTGATTCATAGTTTATTGATGTTATAAAAATATTTATTAAATGTTTTTAAACAAAAATAAGATAATTTTTTTATTTAAAATATTATAATTTAGTCATAAATTTTAATATTTCAGGGTATAGTTCAATTATTAGAATCCACTAAAACATTATGAAGTTTTTCATTTCAAATCCGAAGCTCATTACATTTGATTTCTCTTGAGATATTTTATATTTTATTGTCTTAAAATACAGAACACCAATAATGAATTATAGAAGTTCTAATATATTTATATTATACAATACCGCTCGGTATTTTATACTTTACTGAGAATATTATCGGATTAATTTGATATTTGATATTTTATTGTCTTAAAAATGTGATTTTTCCAATTTCCAAACTCTCGATATATTTTATATTAATTAGATTCGGGCTGAGTTCAAATAGGGTTTTAGATTAGGTTCAACAGTATTTATATTATATTCACACCTGATTTTGTCACTTCGAGTTATTACATGAACTTGAACCGAATCCAAACAATTTTTTAAGATAAAAATATCATTCCCTTGCGTCAGCCGGAAGCTAAAATCCTCTTTTTTTTCATCGAAAAAAACACCTATTATATTTTTCTATAAAGAACGCACGTTAGGCCAACGTGGAGCCCACTTTGATTTTCAGTCTGCCTGCCCACCAAAAAGTAGCAGCCGTCCATTCCCGGATCACCGTCTCTTTAACTGCCACGTGTCACTGCCTTTACAAACATCCCATCCACCACCGTCCTTCACTGTCTCCACGTATGAAAGCAAACCTCCCAAACTATCAGTTAACGACGTAATTCCTCGAAGCGCCCAAACGTAACGCCGTCAACTCAGTCATTTCATTTCAAATTCAACCAAACCACCAGGTTCGTAGACTCCAAACCTGAGGCTCGGCCGACGATTTAAATAACCCTCACATGCTTTCTTTTTACTTCCTCACTTTTCATCACTCCCTTCTGTGTATGTGGGTGTATTTCTCTGTTTCTTGCGCCGAAATTCCCTGAAATTTTTAAATTTTTATTAGGAGGATCCAGATTACAATGGCGGAACAATCAGAGAATCCGATTGAGTCAATCATGGGGAAGATAAGCGAGAAGATTCATCACGAATCGTCGTCGTCGTCGGATTCGGAGTCCGATTCAGAGAAGAAATCGTATCCTTCCGAGTCGGTGAAGGACAAGATTTGGCGGTTGTTTGGTAGAGAAAAGCCTGTTCATCGTGTTCTCGGTGGTGGAAAGCGTAGGTCACTTAAAACCTGCTTTATTTGTTAAAATTTCATTTCCATTTTTCTAGGTTGATTTTGATTGATTATTATTTTATTTTTTTACTAGTGGAGAATATAATGATTCAGATTTAGTCATTCCTTTATTTTTTCGGTCTTCTGGGGTGTTTGGTTACTGAGAAAATTAAAAGGAAAAAAAAATGCCTCTGGTTAATGTGGTATTTTTATTCAGCTGCTGATGTGTTTTTGTGGAGGAACAAGAAGGTTTCGGCTGGTGTACTTGGTTTTGCGACAGCAATCTGGGTCCTTTTTGAGTTGGTCGAGTACAACTTGCTTACTCTAGTGTGCCATATCTTGATACTCTCTCTTGCACTCTTGTTCCTCTGGTCTAATGCTCACGCTTTTATCTACAAGTAATATTCTCTCGTCCTTGAAGTTTTTAGCTCCCTTTTCTGGTTTAGGTGTCCATGTATTTTGGTGGAGGTATTGACAACTGTAGGCTCGGAAGGGGCTGGTTGTGATTTTCTTTCCGATGTTGTTTTATAGGAGTCCTCCTCGCATCCCACAAGTTCATCTTCCAGAGGAACCAGTCTTGCAGGTTGCTTCAGCACTGTGTGTTGAGATTAACGGTGCATATGTGTTCTTGCGCAGTATTGCCGCAGGAAAAGACTTGAAGAAGTTTCTCATTGTATGTTTCTCGTATATCTCATCGCTTCTGTCTCTACACGGTCACCTTGTAATTGAAGGAGATCATCTTATATTTCTGCTTTATTTTGTTTTCCGTAGAATAATTCTTATATTACTGCTACATATAGATCTGAAATCTATTGCTGTCGAGTTCTGCACTGTATGGTCAATAGTGTCATTGCTGGTTTTCATGCTTTGCCTACTCTGACTAATTATATTGAGTCAGAAATCTTTTGGCTCGCATTGTGATTCCTAAAATTGCTGGTGTGTAATGATGTCAGGTTATCGCCGGATTGTGGGTCATGTCAATTGTGGGGAGTTGGTGCCATTTCTTGACCTTGTTTTATATATGTATGACTTTCGAAGCTGATTTTTTGCAGTTTGTTTAACGGGCGTTAGATATTATATACTGAAACTACATAATGATTTTAACAGGCTTCGTTCTGCTACACACTGTTCCCGTTCTCTATGAGAAGTTCGAAGACAAAATCGACCCCTTGGCAGAGAAGGCGATGATTGAGATCAAAAGGCAATATGCGGTCTTCGATGCTAAGGTTCTAAGCAAGATCCCAGTGGCCGCTTTGAAAGCCAAGAAAGTTTAGATTGGTTGCTTGTTGTGTTTGGGTAATCAGGGTTTGCAGGTCGTGATTGCTGTACCCATAATTTGCTAGGGATTCCTTTTGTTCTTCACCCCACAAATTGTTTTAAACTGTTTGGGTTGCATTTTGAATGAATTGTCTTTCATGGTGTTAGTTTTGAAGTTGGAGGTTTAATTTGCAATCCTATGGCACCTCTTAATGATGGTTTTTGACGAGTTCAATGTACATTAGTTTATCTTTTATGTTTCGGACCGTTGTGCTCCCGGTATTTTCTGATATTTGTGTCGTGTTTGCCTCGTGACTACGACAAAAAACAAAGTATCTGCTGGCGCAGAAACAGTTCCTCATTTGGCTATCGCGGGGGCAAGGTGGATTTGCGTGCAAGGCTGAAATCTATTTCAATTTGGATGTGTGAATGTCGGTGAGTTTGAGAGTACTATTGCTGTGTGCTTTTCTAAAAAAAAATTGATTTTTTTAAAATTAATTTTTTTTTTGTGTTTATTTTAAGAAAATGTCATTTTAATATTTTTTTTAAAAAAAAACATTTTCAATTAAACACCGCACAGCCGTTGCGTAATATATAAGGTAGCCTGGCATCTAAGATTTCTAGCTGACAGGGTATCGTTCGTGATGTTACGTGTAAACCTGTGTGTGGTGGCCTGGCACAAGTGAGGTGAGGGGAAGCCAAGTAAAGAGCAGAATTTGGCGAGCGGCCACCTTGCAGGCTGCTTTCATAAAATTTGTATAACCTGCATCCAATATGTACGCTTTGGCAGCCATTAATCCGACATCCGAGTTCCTTTCATCGGTGGTTTTACAGGTGCTGCTCAGGTTAAACTATAAGTTCAAACTGCAGAGCTCAGTAAATTTAGTGCAGCATAATGCCAGCATCATTGCACCCACGAGATCTGAGAGTGATGTAGGGGATTTTTGGACGTTACAACTGGCTGAGTTTGGATGGCGATACACACTAACACTAGATGAAGATGGAAGGAATATTGCTTTCTGCCATTAAGATAGAGAGGTTGTACTGTTATTATTATGTGACAGCGTGCTAACATTGGAGAATGACCACGAGATAGCTATTTGGGGCAAAGAGACGCTTTTCATTTCACCGTGAAAGAATTGATTGAACACCAACGAACAACCTACACCTTTGATTAATTACATAATAAATCAGCATATTCTCAATGTTTTGGGAGCAGTCTTGAGATCCGAGAAGGGTTGTCCAAGGATGTTAAAGGAACTGTTGAGAACTCGGAATCGATATGTGCAAACGGCAGCGAATTTCCTTGAGGGGCTACAGGACCATGATTTTGAGCTGGAGAAAGATTTGGTCCAGATGTGCTAGTTCCATGGTTGGGCACCGACGAACTAACCCCACTAGCATTTGTATCTTGCCCAGATTCCCTCTTTTCCCTTTCTTCAGTTTCCTTGAGAAGAAAATCAACCCACATATCTGCAAAGGACTGGAGAAACATATAATTGAGATGAAATTGCATTTTCATTGCACTCCTCTCCAAGTAAAATATACACTAGCAAAAATGATACTGAGATAGCTGATTATCTTTTAACTGAAAGGAAAAATCCTTTCCTGGTAGCTAAATTCATGCATGCACTGTTGATGGCTCACTGGAGGCTGTAGAATGTCATTTTCCAAAAAATGCATATGATAGCGACCACACGCCCCACCACTAAAAACAGAAGGGCAAAGACTTTACTGTCAAATCTTGACTACAAAGCATCCAGAGTCACGGTGACCAAACCCAACAAGTATTTTCTGTGAGTCACTCACCGTTCTAATGAATAGGCGGTCTTCACTCAATGGACAGAACATGACAAGATGCATAGAAAGTAAAAAATCAAACTTTCAGTTCTGATTGAATTCAGATCAGAATACATTCTCCAGAAGAGGCTACTAGGTTCTTGCAGCAAATTAGTAATGAGCACATGGATAGATGGATCCATCTCAAGCAAATGCTAATCTGCCACTAGTCTAAATGACAACCCAGATTATTAGGATGCAAAGGGCACTGTATGAAACACCACAAAGAGCGGAAACAGAGCTACTTGTACATGAAGATCAAAAGGCCCGTAGCATCATCTTACTGGTTAGCTTTTAAACATCAAGAAAGAAGAAAAAAAACCAACCTGGTTATCGGATGCCAAATTCATTTGAACACCAGCTGCACTTCCACCCAAGATTCCACCAACTAGGCGACCAGGTAGCCCCAAAACCCCCCGAACAACACCTTTTCCACCTTGTTGAGCTACACCTATTCTCTGCTTGTCTTCATCTGAGAACCCAAGCATTCGAACCATAAGATCCAAAACCTGGAACCCACCATACAGAACAAGAGTACAAGCTATGTCAAATTGGGTAGGGGTTGCCAAAGGGATGATAAACCAGAAACAATAATCATTATAACAATTTAAATAGCAATGCTATGTGAGAGCAGCGATACAATATGGATTCTTTCCAAACAAGAATCGACTGAACTTGAGATGTCCTCTAACCAAGGGGTTCTCTGGTTTAAAACAAAAAAGATTTATGTAGGTTAAGGTTTTCCTTCTTGAAGAGATGGATAATGATGCCTAGGTGTATTAGTGGTTAAGCTCCTAAATGAATATAAAAACAACAATCTACCTGTGTGGTATAGCAGAGACTAAATATTGCCAACAAACATAGCATTGAAAAAATGAGATTATCTTTTTTTTGTTAATTTTTTATCCTGTTCAATTGTACTAAGAGATTCATACCTCTTTGCTATGGTTTCTCTGGAAGTAGGTCACTAGTAATTTAATCACAATGCGCCTGCAATAAAAGCCAGTCACACATTATAGACTGCGTGACCCATGCATAACTTCCAATCCCAACATTGTATACATGGTACAAGCCATCTCACTAACTTGTAACTATGATGTAATGTACAACGAAGTAGTAGACTTGAATACAAAACAATAATCAAAACTATGAATCACACACAGAGCAGGCTAACCTGTCAACTAGATAATCAGAATCCATGGACATCCTATTGAGTCTGCTCATACTCTGCTCAAAAGCACGACGGAGTTTTGCATTGTCTTCCTCGAGTTTATTCACTCTGCTCTTCCCTTCTGCAAACTTCCTTTCAACGTCTGAAAGCTTGGCTAAAATTTCTTCTTTCTCCCTCTTTGATTCCTCTGTCCCTGCCTCTGCTTCCTGGAGAAATCAAAGCATATCACTCTCCAAAAAATGGGTAAATGGAACTTTTACCATATAAAATAAACCATTAGTTTTCCAGGTCAGCAAAAGCAGTAAAACATGCTTTGGCTTGAAGCCGTACTCATCTGACAAATACAACAGCAGCTTCATTCTTAGCAAAACTCAGGAAACTATAATGATGCCACAAAATGCATATCAAAGCAAGAATATACTAGAAGCACTTGAAAAAAAGAGAGGCTAAAATACAGTGTCGATTAGATTCTCTTTTCAAAATTAATCAGACAAGTTCAATGACAATTTGAATGCACAGCCTGTAGATAAGGTTGTGCACATGACAGTATCTTATAAGTACAAGACTGCAAAACCTTACAAGACAGAAACTTTCTTCATGTCAGAAAAACTAGAAGCCTGTAATGATTCTGCAAAATGCATATTATAACAGAAATACCTTGATAAGAATTTGAACATTTGGCCTTTGAACAGCATAAGATGATTTTCTTCTTGAATAAAAAAAAATCTTATTGAGAAAACTCAATGACAATTCAAAAGCACCATCAGTAGATAAGGTTGTGCACATGCCATATCCCATCAATCTAACAATACAAAAAGTTACAGAAGCCCTTCATCTCATAGACTTTGTAAATTCATGGAAGAACAACCCTCTAAAAGACAATTCAACATTGCTCATAATACAGACATCAAATTCCACTTCACATCACAAAAAATTTAATGATTTTCAGGAACATTTATGAATAATCTGATCTGAAGTAATCTGCGCAGTTTGATGATTTTAAAATTAAAGGTTTAGATAACTAACAAAACTTGGAAATAAGAAGGAAGGTGAGGCCATACTTTCAAAAGTTGAAAACGCTTAGCTGATTCTTCTTTTGTCAAAGCCAACTGTCGCTCCAAATATTCCTGATAAAACAACAACAATAAGAACAGCAACAATAGTTAAAAAAAAAAACCCTGGAAACTGCAAGACATCAAACATAACCTGTAGGAAACAGAAGCAAAGATTACCTTTGCTTCAACTTCAGCAAAATACTGCCCAAGAGCAGTTTGAAGATTTTGAAGTTCAACATTTTTTGATTCTATTGTGCTCATACAGTTTGCAAGTTTTTTTTTCAAATCTTCAGTCATTTCTTTGGACTTCTGGATTTCACTGCTGTTCATCATCCTGACTTCCTCCTGGCCTGCAATTGCCTGCTTTAGAGCTTTCTCCAAATGTAATATTTGAGCCTTTTGATATTCATTACTCTGACGGAGTTCTTCAATGATCTTACTGTCTTCATCCATTTTTTCCGATTCTTCAGATTCCTAGACAGCAGAAGTCTTAAGGACTCATAACTTCATATCCTACATTTAATTCAATAACATGCAAAGGATCACGAGATCCAAACAACACAGATAATACCAAGCCAATATCATAATTATCAATATCATTATATGGAGTGGCTATTTCAAGTCATGTTTGGACAAAACAAAATTGACACAGAAAACATGAGTGCACAGCATAAGCTTTGGAAATGGAAATTTGAAGAGTCAATTTTGGCATGGGAAATTGAATTTACTAAAATATCAATGTATCTCCAAAAGATTCCAGATGATAAACAATTAAATAATGTTTGCTGCATGCAATATTGGGAACTTTGACAAGAGGGTTTGAAATGTTCTCAGTTCCTGTAGATGGAGTTGAATTTATTAATGAGCTAACATATAAAGTATCTCCAGAACTCCTGAAGAGAAACAATCAACTCATAATGAATGCATACACCACGTAGATTCTTTATCATGAAATTTTGCTGTAATATTAGCCATAATTGTCAAATGAGTAAAGCAGTGATTGCAAAACCATCATTTCTTATCTTTCTTATTTGTTATAGTACAGTTTGTCATTTACATCTCTTAAGGTATTGCCAGTTTTATCTCAGAGAGAACTTTATGGGGCAGCATATCAGAACTGTTGAGTTGAACTTGAAAAATAAGCAAAAGTCAGCAGCACATCAAAGCAATAAAGTAACAAAGCCATGCGAGATTACAACAAGAAATGGAAATTTTAGGAATAGCAACCTTTTCCAACAAATGCTGTTTGAGACGGGCCAATTGTTGCAATGCTTTGTCCTTTTCATGGCGTGTATCCTTCAAATCTCTCTCCAATTTTTGCAGCAATAGCTCCATTTCCACTTTTCTAGGAGAAGTTGTAGTTGAATCCACTTTCTAGGAGAGGAATGGATGATGAAGATGGAAATTTTGATGAGGATGATTATCATAAAAATGGTAAAATATTTGTGCAATTGAAGAAACAAAACAAGTGTGTACCAGGGGCAGTGAGAATATAGCTCTCTCTCAAGTAACAACCACGTGTGTGCATAAGAGGTAGATAGAGCCTGTGTGTTGGAACTTGTGGGAGTGTGCCCACACGTGTGCATGCAGAGAAAGAGAGAGGGGAGGGGGAGAGGGAGAGCAAAATTACCTCATCTGGAGAAGTTTCATTAGGAGATGAGTTCTTGCTTTTCAAAGCAGCCTCAAGTTCATTCCTTGCCATCTAAAATAGAACATAGGTGAGAAATTTAGGAACCCAACATGGAAAAAGTATTATGAATTTTTGTGACATGCATGGCACCATGATTATTAAACCCGGCCTGGGGGTCGACCTGGCCTTGGCCGGGTCTCAGGTCAACCCAGGAAAATCAAAAAAAAAATATTTGAGGTTTTAATCCCCCATGGAAAAATTAAACATTCCATGTAAATATGGGCTATATATATCCTGCATCGAAAAATTAAAAAACAATTCATATGGATTTAGGCATCAAAAAGTTAAGAAGCAATCTATGTGGAAATAGGGGGGGGGGTGTGTATACTACGTCGAAAAGTAAAGAAACATTCCATGTAAATATAGGCTATGAGAAAAATATACAAGGCAAAATATTCATAAATTAATTTTATATTTTCTGGTTTCATTTGAAAAAATATATAAAAAAAAGTCAAGTCTCACCCAAGTTATGTGAGGTCACCCGGGTTTCAGGTTGACCTAGCAGGTCGCTCAGGTTTGACCAGATCAATTACAAGTTCAGGTTTTGCTTATGTGGAATCAAGTCAAGGCTCCAAGTCCCAGGTCAAACTATCAGGCCGGGCCATGTTTCATAGCAATGCACGACACACTTCTTACATGGATGACATTTTAGAATGCAACCAACCTTGAGATTAGCATTTTCATTCTCTAAGGTTATATATATAATTGACATCAAAAAGTTAAGAAACATTCCATGTGGATATAGGCTATAAAAGAAATATGAGAAGCGAAATATTCATAAATTAATTTTATATTTTTTAGTTTTATTAAAAAAATAAAAAAACAAATTGGGTCTCACCAAGATTGCGTCGGGTCACCCAGGTTTCGGGTTGACCCAGCAGGTTACTCGGGTTTGACCAAACCAATTGCAAGTCTTGGTTTTGCCTATTTGAAACCAGGCCAAGACCCCGGGTCACCCACCAGGCCAAGCCAGGTTTCATAACAATGCATGGCACACTTCTTGCATGGATGACATTTTAAAATGCAACTAACCTTGAGATTAGCATTTTCCTTCTCTAAAGTTGCAATGACTCTTTTCAAACTCTTTACATTGACATTGGGATCTTCATCTTCCCACCTACTTAATGCTACCTGCAATCGTCTTATCTCTGATGTTTTTTCGTTCAATTCATTATGAATTTTGCTCACATCTACTGAGGTCTGTAAATTGAGAAAACACACCAACAAAACACAAAAGTCAGATCTCAAATAGGAGAGAAAATATAGAAAGTCATGCATACATGCATACATATTCAAGCATAATAAGAAAAAGAAAGATGATGTAAAAAAATCGGCACTGCTAGAAGCATAAAATAATATAAAGAAAACAAACATAAGGTCCTAAACTGATAGGTAGTAATGGGATGATCCATACATTATAGAGGTACAGAAATGTTATACATATGCAATCTACAACATACATATTTCCGGAAACTCCTAAATTCTGTAAGTGCTCCTTAGCGAAAAGGACAGAAAGATGAAAGAAACCAGAGCAGAATAAGAACAAAACTGAATGTATGCATGGAATAATATTCCACAGAAATTAGGAACATGTAATATGATAAAGCACTCCAACTATCCATTTCTTTTCCCTCAAAAATACCAATTAACAGGTCTTTCCCATAAACTAACATCCTCAGTCTTCACAGGAACCATCAGAATTTCCTGTTACTTCCCCAATCAGGAAAAATGGGACAATTATGCTACCAACATAGAGTAGCAACAACAAGTTCCATCTCACTACCTTCTCACATATTGGTATGTCGCATCTAGATATCAACATATCTCACAAACAGTAACTCGTGCAACATGCTTGTACCAGACATGGTAAATATGCAACAGATGAGGGAATGATCAGTAGAGCCATAGAATCATCAAATAAAATCGAACTCACTTTGTGATGGTCCACATTTAGAATCCGGAGCTCCTCCTGAAAAGATTTGTTAATACTTTGTTCCTCTGAATAAATGTTGGAGACAACAAATAAAAAGGAAGACGAGTGAAAAATTTTGGTAAGTAATTCAAGCGACACCAAGAAGAATTCGACCAAAGGATAACATCATATTAAATTTTTAAGTGAAGAGTTACACCTTGCAATTTTATCTGTATATTTGCTGATTTGCGGCGTTCATTTTCAAGTTCGGTTCTTAGCTCCTTTATTTCCAACTCATGAGTAGCTTTCATTGCTGCCAGGGACCTATTTTTCTCCTCCAGCAAATCTGCAAACTCCTAGAAGGCATTCATATATCTGTTGTCAAGTTTGTTCATTTAAAGCACAAGTACATAATGAAAAACACTATCTGCAAGTAGACAAGTACAAAAAGGGTAATCTACTGCTGAGTTGGTTTGTCAATCAATTATAACACACCAAAACAATACGAAAAAAAAGAATTTGCAATGTAATACAAGTGAAAAAAGGAGGGGGGGTTACATCCACAAATTTAAATTCCAGAAATTTATGAACCAAGTAGTGCAGGTAAGGCACTCAACAACTGACAATAACAATCATCTTACAAAATTCCCAGAGGCATATTCTTACATGACAGAACAGGGTGCAATGTGTCATTACCTTGTCCTTCTTGGTTTCCATCTGACTCTGAATCACATCAGGTTGAACATCATGTAATATTCCATTGCCCATTCCATCATGGTTTGGAAAGACTCCGTTTTGTATTTGATTTTCACCATGGTTTTTTGCTTGAGTTGCATGTCTATGTGGTCGTTTGGGTGATTGGTCACCACTTTCCTGTAAAAATATCAGCCTGTACTTTTCAGCTTGTTGGAAGGAAAAACAATACAGAACATAGAACATGGTATTTTCAATCCCATAGTAGAAGAATCATACTCTGAAACAAATATTTTGCACAAAACAATAAAGCCAAAAACTGAATAGAGAACGGGAGGCAGATCAAATTCTAGATTAAAAAGGTGCATGCCAAGACAGCTTGTGTCATGATTAAAAAGGTGCATAATTCTGATATAGGCAAACACTAAGATCAACAATCCATTGTAAACTAAACCTATGCTTCACTTTAGTTTCACTTTAAATAGATCAAAGTAGTAGAGAAGTCATGTAATTTCATTTTTGATATCTGCTGTCAGGACATGTTACAAGTGAAGTGTTTACATTTTTTATCCTAACTAGCACCTCACGCAGATCATATGATGGACAACTAAAACGAAGAATGAAAATGATCATCACACATTGTTTCTGTTCAAACTGTTAAGGTGGTCAAAACTGTATCACGCTAAATCCCACCAAAGTACTTGATTGGCTGATACCTAGTTTCTATAGATATTAATTCGGCAAGCTTGATGGGACAACTAAGAAACAACTCAGTGAAGAGGGGGTAAGCTGGTCAGATAACAGTGTACCAAGACATACCACATGAAGCTACACAAACTGGCTTTTTCCTATAGGTCATAAATCATGCACTATAACTGCAGAAAAAATAACATCACACGGTATCAAGCTCTCAAGTTTACTTGAACATAATCTACGCAAGGCAACAGAGATGATCAGCACTTACCAAAATACTGTGGAACTCATAGTGCATGTTCAATAATGAGTCACTAAACAGATTAAACTTTCAAATCAAATAATGCATTTTAATTGAGATTTGAATAACCACCTTGATGCTACTTGTTGATGCTCTTCGATGCTCATTTCTAAACACGTAAAGAGCCTCCTTTGTCGCATCCAAATTTTGCTTCAACGAACCATTTTCTTGGTTCAATCTACAAATCTGATCCTGTAGCATTGGGATAGAAGAGCAACAGATTTAATTTGTCAAAGGCCCTTGAACATAGAGCTAATGGAAACTAACTAATGTTAATTGAGAGTTAGTAAGCCAAAAATATACTCTAGACTCCAAGAAGACAATCATGAGAAACATGAATTTAATAATGAAGCACTAAAATGAGCAAATAGAACATGGTGGTCGATAACTGCAAAATGAATTGCATTTGATATTAATTCAGGACATGTTGTCTCTTGCCAGTAAATATTATTTCCTTTGATAGAATGTGCAGGAACAGAAAAGATAAAAAGGACATGGCGTTTAACTATCAGAGTGTACTTTGCACCTGAAAGCTGAAGGTTTTCTGTCATTCATCAGTAATTATTTCTCAATTTTGATGTTTCAGACATAATGGTACGCAGGAAATAAAAAACTAGCCAAAAAATTAGTGAATTTTCTGCAGGAAAAAAAAATCAAACAAAGATTGATCATGTACCTCTTTCTCTTTTAATATAGCTGCATAATTCACAGATAATGCTTTAATCTCCGCTTCAGATTCCTGGAGCCTTTTGATTTGTGCTTTGTACTGTTCAATCTACAAGAAAAAGAAAGAGAGAGAGAAAGAAAGAAAATATATATCTATAGCAAAATCAATCAACTAACCACATATTCCACGTTACATAACACCCCACACAAGCCACAACAACAATGCTATGAACATAAACTTCTTATGCAAATCAAATCATCTTAACCTTTCTTCACAAATAAACATTTTCAGCCTAAATTACTTCCATTTACAGCTATCGCTGGTCCAAATACTTTTAAAATAATCAGCCACGAGTCTCGAGCAAGACCGAAGCTCGCCTGCTTTCTAGCACGTTATTACAAAGTTGTCAATGATTTGGCGATTACGCACTAAAATGCAGTACGCTTTACAACTGACTGAAGTAGGGATCATAAAATCTCTAATTAATTAACACGATAATTCGTATATTTCCATTCCTTAATTTTTGATCGAAATTGAAACCAGCAGGGATCAATAACAAGTTCTTGCGGTTCCAATAACAAAAAAGAAACCGTCATCAATAATTACATCATGAAAACACATTGAACAACAAATACCTCAAAATTGTACGGTGAGTCGTTCCCATTCGCAATAGGAGACGGTGAGACCGACTTCGAATGCGCGAAACGGTGAGAATTCCTCCGATCAGATACCGACGAATCGTAGCCATTGGTGGAAGCATGGATCTCCAGATCCTCGTCGTCGTCATGAACATCAAGTGCAATCTTTTCTAGGTTTTGCTTCAAATTCTCAATGGAGCTCCACATCATTCACAAATTTCAAACAAACCAAAAATCAAATAAAAATCAATTGTAGTTGTAGCTGAGGTTTGGTAAATTTAGCGTGAGAGAAAAGATTGGGGTTTTTGTTTCTGCTGGTGGATCTGAAATGGGAAGGTGTTAAAAGAAGAAGATTTGGCTTTTAACGAAAAGAGTAGTAATAATAAAAATAATTTCGTAGTACTTGTCGGGGGGGGGGGAGAATAAATTGCGTTACGTGATAGAAGTTATAATTTGCCCCCCTTTGAGTTGTTATGTGATCTTATTTGGCAATCAAACTTTGCCTCTTGTGATTCTTACCGCCATTGGAGACCGTAGACGGGGTCGGGAAGAAAATACAGAGTATTTTGTTTTATTGTTTTTAAAGCAAGATATAAAAATAGATAATTATGTTTATTTGTTCTACTATTATTTTTTCCCTGTGGGGAAACTGATTACCTTTTCTTTCGGGATGCAATCCACATAATTGCCGTATATTTATAACCTTATTGGAAAGTCTCTCATATCTTTATAAAAAAAAACCTATTTTTAAAATGTCAGAAAGTAAAGTTAATAAGTGCAGAACAGTATAGTTGCTACGAGTCCACTGGTCTTTGCTAAGCAATGGCGTAAAATGTGTTTTTAACAAAAATAGATTTTGTTGACGTTTCTTTTTTAAAAAAAACATTAATCATTAATTTTAAATCAATTGAGTGATAAATGATATTTTTAATTAGCATCGGAAAGGAAACACGTTCCAAATTGACATGCTTGCATTCTAAATTGACATGCTTGCGGGAATAATCTTTAATAAAAATATAAAAAATCTAATTTTTAAATTAATTTATTATTAAAAAATAAAAAAAATAAACTTGAATTAACCAATTAAACTATTAATACAAGTCATGCATGTCATTAAATTTAATATAAATTTTTTTTCATAGATTAGTTTTTATTTAATAGATTTGTATGATAATAAACATGTGTTTTTTTATATGAAATGTTTTCTTTAAAAAAAGAACATGTCTATTATGCGAGATTAAGACAGCAAAAGTAAATAATTGATAAAAAAAAATGTAATTACAAAAAAAAAAAATTAATTAAGGGATGAAAAAGATATTAAACAAAAAAAATTAGATATTGTGGCTTAACTCGCTGAACTTACAATTTAGATCATGAAATCAATCGAGTTAGTTTTTATTTTTATAAATTTATATATAAAAAAAAATTAAAAGATCAGTGTAAAATAAATAACTCAAACACATGGGCTTTTAAGCCCAGGTTATCCCCTTGGACCTATTTTCCTTTAAAGAGATGGACAAGTCGTTAGCTCATCACTATGTTGAGAAAAAAGACAAGCTATGCATTGTTTTTTAGTTTGGATTTTAGTTATCGCCGTAATGATTGAAAAATCAAGGTTATAAATTTTTATCCTAACAAATTCATTTTTTTCAACTCATTTAAAGCCATGAACACCTAAAAAACAATATTGAAACTTGTAAAGACCATCTAACAACCCAGTAATTTAAAAAAAAACAACTCAAGTCATAAAATTAAAATGAATAAATTCCCTCCTCCCTGACTTAAATATATGTATAAAACAACTATTATAAAATTCTCATCACTAAAAGTAATTTATCAATACTAATTTTAATTATCTCGGGGGTTGAAATAGATATAGAAAATAATATTTTTTTTCTACACTGGAATTTGATAATAATCTCTCTCTCTCTTTTCTCTTATAAAAATACTAAAAAATAAAGAGAAATGAACTTTGGTATAAAAATTAAAAGAAATAATCACCTATAAACAAAAAAAAAAGGTCCAAAATAAACTTTTGTTGTAAAATTTAAAATCACCACTTGTTTTACCTATAATTTTAAGTCTGATTTCCTGATTATCAATCCAACCCAAGAAACCTTGCTATAAAAATTAAATTTTTAAAAACTAAAAGGGCTAATCACTTATAAATAATAGAAAAAGGGATCAAGATAAACTCTTGTTATGAAATTTAAAAGCACTGCTTATTTTGTATGTTATTTTAGTTTTGATTATCTAATTTTCAATCTAACACAATGAATTTCGGTAGAAAAATTAAAATTTTAAAACTCAAAGAATCATTATTTATATAAAAAAAGATCAAAATAATTTTTTTTAAAATAAAATTCAAAACTCTATTTTACCCATTTTAACTTTGATTTTCTAATTTTCTATCCAACCTTTTATTCTAAAAAAATGCTAATTTTAAATTAAAAATAACTCAGCTATATATATATATATATGTATATGTATGTATGTATGCATGTATAAAAGGTTAAAGAACCAAATGTTGGTGGTTCATGCTGCTTGAACTTGCATCTTGTCTTACGTGCAGCTACAGCTAATTTTGTTTTCTTAAAAATAAAGTTTACGGTGATTCATGAATGCACCACAATATTCGAAGCTGGGGTAGTTTTAAGTTGCTCGAATAGGAATTAGTCAATTGGATATTATCGAATAGCTGACGGAGTGGGAGGCTCTCACGGCGCTTGATCATGCTTAAACTGATGGCACCACTGAAGTTGTTGGAGAAAAGCTTGAATCCAGTAAGATTCTGAAGTTCAAGAAATGAATCAGAGACATGCCCTTCGAAATTGTTGATGCAGATCAACAGCACTCAGGGCGATAAATATGCTCGTCAAAAATCTTGCAGGACACCACTAAGCCTGTTTTGACTTGGCAGCAATCTCACCAGGGAAGGAAGCTCAGGAAGCGATGAGTTCAATGTCGCCTCCATTGAACTGCTCTTAGTAGAAAGAGACCCTGGATTTGCTGACCCAACATGGTTTATTGTATCGAGTAGTCTCGGGCCTTCTTTAACGGTGGAAGGAACGGAATCCATCCAAGAAGCTTGTTGCATGAGAGTTCTAAGTGAATAAGATGGGTTAGGCTTGAGAAGAAGGTATCAATCCAGAGAAAGTACAATTCCTTGAGTCCAGTTCAGTAAAAAAAATTGAAGATTACCAATTGAATCTGGGATTTCTCCATAAAACTCGAGAAGCATAAAGACAAGACTCTGAAGTGTTCGTCTATTGGAAATTCCGGCAATGTCCCAGAAAGAGGCATATTTCTTGATAAATCAAAAGTCTTCAGGTTTGACAGTCGCACGATACGTGTCGGAGACATTTAAGAGAGATTGTTGCCGTCAAGGTCAAGCTTTGAAAGCAATGGAAGGTAATTAAGTGATTCACGAATGGGACATGAGAGGTGACAGGGTGACAAGCTCAGGACTTGAGATCTGGGGGGTGCAATTTTCAAAAGCTTATTTTGAAGTTTAACCTTCTTCTTCTTATAATGCATCATTTGCAAAGTGATATCTTTTGAGTTATTAAAATTAAAAATTATAGTATTATTTTGAATTGTTAACATTGTTAAAATTATTTGAGTCATTTATTGTCTATTTTGGTAATATAATTTGAGGTGGTTAGATATTTATTTATTTAAGTTTGACTTGAGAAAACTCAAGAATTTTATTGGAATATTTCTAGAAATCGTTTTTCTCAACATTCCAATAAAAAGATTTTGATTGACTTTTTTAATATATGTCTTTTTTATTTTTTTTCAACAAATATTTAATAGAAAATAATATAAAATAGCTCTATTTATATTTTCTTTAATGCCTATATTTTAAATATAAGTTTCATTGGAACAAAAAAATAATTCAACGGAAAGATTGTGATCAAAAAGTTTTTGTTAACAGATATATATTTTTAAATTTTTTTTCAATAAACAATCAATATGAAATTGGTATGTTTATATCTTCTTAAAATACCTAAATTTTATGTTATTTTAAATAAATATAAGGGTTATTCTACCAAAATAATTATCTATGTAACAAAAATAATTTTTAAATCAAGAATAAATAGTTAAAATTGTCGATGCAGTTAATTTTTATAGGTATTTTAAATAGTATAATTGAACTTAATTATATGATTTCATATTTTATTTTAAATATAAAAATTATAATAAATTATTAATTAAATTTAAATTTATTTATAAAAAACTCAGTGTATGATTTGATTTTAAAAATTCAATATTGCAGACTATAAAATAATAAAATCTCCATATGCCACAGCATTTTAATCTTTCTTCGGTTGTAATTTTGATTTATTCCGTTGTAATTTTGATTTTTGTACTTTAAATACTCAAACGGAATGTGAGAGATTAGGAAATCTATCAAAATGTTCGATTTGATTTTTAAAAATAACTATCAATAGGTGAATCTTTCCAAAAAGAATTAAAAAAAATGAGAAACTTTGAGTAACATCCAATGAGTTTTCATGTAGACACAAAAAAAAAAAAAAAAAAACACAACCTATTTATTTAAAAAAAAAAAAAAAAAAACTCACACTATTAATTTATGATTTTTTTTCAGTTTATATATATATATACGGGGCTTTTCAGGGCCTTTAGGGTAATCGCAATGGCTGTATGATTTTAATAAGTTCGCATAATAATCGAATCCAACGATCGAGATGCATCGGATTTTTTCTCGCCCTCTTCTATATAAAGAGCTATCCAGCTTTCTTTTCTCTGTGAAGGAGCAGACAAGTAGCTAGGGTTTGGCACTTCGCGGCCGCCTTTCTTCTTTTTTTCTTCTGTAGTATCATGTTGCTTGTTCCCAGTAGATGCGATGATGATAGAACAGTAGGTAAAAAACCGTTGATTGTGTGGTGGGTTCATAGCCTCCACCCAAGATGAGTCTCCTTTTCTGGTTCGTATTCACTGAGCATCTATGATTTCCTATACTTCTATCTTCTTGTCTGGAGTGGATTTAAAGTTTTTGCAACGAAGGTACCTATGGAGGGAGTGCTATAAAAGTGCACTCATTTTCCAAGTTTGCCTTCGAAAATTAGGATCGAATGACAGATTTCGCATGAACTTTGATCTATTTCTTGTGATTTTGAGTTCACAGATCTGATTTTCGTACATGTATAATTATACTTGAAATTGTCATCTCTTTAAACTCCGATGCAATGCGAAGGTCCCAGCAGAGGGGTAAGGAACTCTATAAATTGAGGCCTCTCTAACAATCATAAAATGCCTTCGCAGATTAATTTGCCGAATCGTAGGATGCCCGGAATTTCTCATGACGGGCCGTCTTGAACCCTCGGCTAAATATCAATGTCTGTCCAGTCTTGCATCTCACTTTTCTATCCTGATCTTTCAATTGAAAAGACTATATTTTTAAACGATAGCTACTGATTTTTCTTTCCCCTGAAGAAAAGTCCATTTATACTCAATGAATCCGCCAGGCCAAGCTAAACATTTATCTTGTGAAAGGCAAGAATACTCTGGATAATGGACAAGGTAAAACCACTGGAGAACTTTTTCTCCGAAAGGAAAATTTAAATGGAGGACATTATCACTGCTTTAACATGTAGGTGAGCCACCAGATGCTTTTAACTTAAAATGAGTTTATTGTTTCAGTCAACTAGACTTTCTGGAGATGAACATCACTAGTTGAAGGATACCATGTTGTCTGAACAAGAACCAGGAACTGTTAAATGTTAATGGGTTTTCTTTATTTTGAGAAATATACTGAAATGAATACAGAACAGCTAACCATTTGCCAAGCGGCGCAGTTGGCTGTTCAAACAAATTGTCCAGTTCAGTTACTATAAATGAGGGAGAATGGGGCAAGAAACTTTGGGCGGTGAAATTTGGTTTAGATTCGGAAAGGATTTCTGACTTAACGGCTGTGCGGTTGGAGGCAGGTTGTGAATCAGTGTATCATTCCATCAGAGGTAACATACAGGGACCGATGCACGAGCCTTGTGCTAGCAGCTGGATTAAACTTATTTCAGGGTTTCTCCACAAGGATTGGGATATGACAGTTACCCGTGTTTACAGAAGCCAGTATCTGTGCTGATGGATTGGCCATGGGTGGGTATTGATGAAAGTCACAGGTTTACTTATTTCATTCACAGAGCCTCCAGATTGTGCGATGAGGATAAATTGCAGAGGTTTTTGTAACCTAGGAAACTTCAGGCTATGCAAGTAGTTCTATTTCCTTTTTTCCGGGCTTTACGGTCCTGTTTAGCACCCAAACAAAAAAAAAAACCACTGCTATTACGCAGCGAGAAACGGAAATTCTCGATTGCAAATTCTAAACAGATATAAAATCTATTTTCAGGGCTGCACATCCTACTTGTACCGTTATATGCACCAGAATTTTATTGTAAACAAGGAAAGTTTGCAGACTTGTATAGCTGCATAAAAGTCCCCAGTTTCTTCACAATACACCGACATGGGAAGGATTAGTAGGTGCAGAAGCCAAACTGATACTTGGTTGCAATCCATTCATTTAGGCCTAACGAGGTGGGATGCCCATATATCATCTGCCGGAGGTGGTGGCTGAACCCAGTGCCCTGGTATGCGGCTGCACTCAAGTTCCACAGAACAATTAGGGGAAAAAACACTACACAAGGTTGGTTAACTCTGAACAGCTATTAAATGCAGCTTCCAGGAAAAAGAATGATTGGCATGCTTACCTTCCTCCTGGTCTTATATACGCATCCCATGTTCTTCTAACCTGCAAGCAGAACGAAGAAACAATGGATCTCTCAGCAATTGTGAATCCCGAACGACACAAATGCACCTTTATAGTTAAGGCTATTTGGAGCTCAGTCAACTCAGCACGTAAACTTGTGATGTACTAACTGAACAGACAAACTCTAATGTGATTATATCTTACATTCTGTAAGAAATGGTGTATTCTGGAAAGTGTGAAAAATCAGTTGAAGAAGTTGCTGAAAATCACCTCGATAAGTGTGCCCATATCGTTATTGCTGCCATGATAATAGTGGTAGAATTCAATTGGCAAATTTGCTACAGAATCATAAGCTCCACCATAAAGTTGACCTTTGGATCCTTTTTCTCCAGATGGACCAGGAGCTGCACCGGAGCCTAAATTGTCCGTGCTCTTGTTTATTTCATCATTACTTTCCTTCATTCCATCTTTGTCATCACTTGCATCTTTTGAGTGCGGCCCACCACTCTGGATTGTTTTCCTAGATTCCTCAGCCGTTGCTATGGCACCCTTGGCAGCATCTGTTTCAGCTGCAGCCATTGCTTGGCGCTCTTCTTCCTCAACTGCAGCTCGAACTCTCTCAAGAAACTTGTCATCCTCCTCGGGGAGAAAATGTCCTGCATACAACCAACCATAATTAAAGGTAAAAAATAGACTATGAGATTACATGAGCATGGACACCACATGCATCACACAAATGGACTCACTTAAGAAATAGGGAAACAAGACCCATACAGGGGTGGTGCCACGGCCAGCCATGATGGGATCATGCATCATGATAAATAAACATTTTTCTTTTCTTTTTTTGGAGTCCTATTATTTCTAACTTGGCCCCACCAACTGTTTTGTTCACCCTCCGCCACTGGACCATAAATCATCGAGTTTCAAAATCACTATCAAAGATAAAACAGTCTCACTGTCTAGTTATGATGACTATCTTCAGAGCATGCTGATATGTTTTATTTTTGTTGGAAATATTGCCATGTTATAGTCTGTAATGGTCGAGGTGTATTCATAATAACATTCACCAAGGAAAGACGCATACATTTGAACTCGCCAAATTTTTTTCAAATCCCACTTTAAACACAAATGCCACATCTGATGCATCAAACTTATACTAGCTGAAAAACCATATTCATGAAATTAGAAATGCGGTTGTATTTAACATGGAAAATATCATAGCGGTGTAGGACTGGAAAAAACAAATCATAAGAATGAAAAATTACATCACAGCAGGCATGCACACAGTAAATAAAAAAGAAAAAGAAATTTATCAAGGATACCTTGTTTCTTCATTTTTTGAATCCTGATGGAGCGCAATTCTTGCAACTTCTCCACAACCAATACCAGCTCAAGCTGAAACATTTAAAATTACTTAAGATTGGGCACCGGCCATAGAGGAGAAAAACAAACTCAAGACAGAAACAGCATGATATTAGACAAGTGTTTTAACTCGAAATGGTCCAACAAATGCTCTACTAACTCTTTACTAATAGTCAACACTCATTGCAAATTCTTAACAGCAGTAATGCAGAAATGTGAACCAGGAGATTAGCTACAGATAGCTTTGAGCTTTGTAAAACAATTACAAATCCGAAAGCACAGATATTAAAAAAGTTTGTATGTTATGTAACTAATAGACTGACTACTCAATTCCTTTGATAGACAATGCTTCCGTGAATATATATAAGATATGAAATACATTTTTTTGGTATATGCGTCTGTAAAATATGTGATATCATTATACTAGATCCCAAAACATCAAAGCAAGATGCGAGTGAGATGATATCAACTTGTTAAGAATACATGGGAGTGTAGCATAAAAACAGTAGGTGTATGATGTTTCTTAAATTCTCACCTCAGATTCTAGCCTCTTCCTCTCTTCTTTTGCTTTAAGCTTTGCAATTTCTTTCATCTTTTCCACCTGCAACCGTGAATGCCTAAGTAAAAATTGATAACCTCATGCAAACTGCAAATACAACTAATGTGAACAAAATGACGTGATTTAAAAATAAAAAACATGATGATTAGATCTTCAAAGGTAGATATTTAGACAAGTTTAGTATAACATACATTTAACATGCCACCATCTCACAAAAGAATTAAGATCATGCTGTTTGGAAATCTCATATTTCAGTCTCCCAGATGTGTCACCCCTTATGATGAAAACAAGAGCAATAGAAAATACAATGAATACCATAAATATACCAATGGAACACAACATGAACAAGAGAAAAGGCACTCGAGCTTAAACTTCATGCACCTAGAGTACTGGAATAGAATCAATTTGCATGAGTTGAACTTCTAACAGCAATTATAACTGTTTAAGAACAGATGGTTCTTTCAAGCAAAAGAAGCATGAAAGTTGAGGGTGCTTGGATGCTTGTTAAAAGAAATTGAATGCCCCGACAAATGCAAGGTGTCCTGTGAAACAAATATGTTCTTTCAGGTATCTTACAACATCAGTCTTGCACAGTCATTCAAGTTTGTTTGGAATATCTGAACAATATATTTTATTGAAAACTAAATTGGAGATCTCACAAATCCATTTACTGGCCTTCAAAGCAATCAACTAGCACCCAGTAATCACCTCATTAGCTCTTTCAACTGGTTTTGTGCATGAGACAATCTTAGATTGTTCTTCTAAATTCTAATGCCTCAATGTAATTTATTTCTTTTTGCTTCCAAGGAAACTGGCCAAATCTACCAGCGATATCAAAATTTTATGCAATGATGTCTTCCAGTTAAAACAACAAATTTTTGTTGAGTTTCTACCAGTCACATAAGAGGTTTCTATGCTGACTCTAACCTAATCCAGATAAAGTACAGTGGACCATACAAGATAATTCCTCGAACTAAGAGAATCGCACAGCATTTGGAATTTTAGCACCTACTGAAAGAGAGGCAAACAGGAATATAGCTGATTATACCAGTTTCAAACATAAAACTTCCATTACCTTGAGTTGTGCAGCATCCCTTGCTATCTCCCTAGCCCTCCATTCATCAACTACACGATCAGCTTGATCAAATTGTTCATGCTCCTAAACATCACAGCAAGCACTATTAGAGGGGGGGGAAGAGCGAAAAAAGAAGAAGGAAAGGATAATAACAGAGGCCTGGAAGGCTACAATAAATCAAGGAAAACCACCTTTGTGCGGATTTCTGCAGCACGTTGTCTCTTCCTCTTCCTCCAAAGTTTATTACGCTTGGACTTCAATATTTTATTAGACAATCTAGCTGCCATTGATTTCTCTTCCCATGGAGTGGCATCATCTATAATAACTCTAAATGGCTCTAATTGAGCTCTTAATCTTGACATCAAAGCATTTGCAGCATTCACCGAAAGTGATTCCTGTGCTTCCAAATCAATTTTCCTATCTTTCAAATACTTGTAAAACCCACATGCATAAGGGTTGGTAGATTCCCCTTCCCCATCTTCCACAGAGCCTTCAGTGCTTTTGATTGTCATCAACATCTCAAGCTCTTTCTGCCTATTAAGAATAGCAAATTATTACAAATCATGTTTGCTAAAGGCAGAGAAAAGGCAATGAAAAGCCCCTTCGTAACTTTATATCCCAAACAAGCATTTGAAATTCAAACTGAAAGAATAACCAAGTACATTGATGTAGCTAGAGTTAACGTGTCTTGTAACTCTTTCAGCCGATCATGCACATTTTTGGTGTCCCAAAAAGGAGTCGACTGTGGTGGATTAGGGGGTAACATCGGGAACCAGGGAGGAGAAGGTGCTGCAGGAGTCGCATGAAAAGGAACCGGATGCATGGCTGTGGAAAGAATTAAAGTCAAAACGAAACAAATGTTGTCAAGAAAAGAACTACTTGCGGAAAAAGATTGTTTTAAGTTCTAACCCCAGCTACCATTGCCACTCGTTAACAAATTTCACAACTTAATACGCACAGAGAATTGACGATGGAATATTGCATAATCCAAAAAACACAGTTAACTATAGCATTCTTTGCTCCTTCAATTCTTTTAGTGAATTAAAAAATCTCTCTCTCTCTCTCTCTCTCTCCCTCTCCCTCTCCAGTCAGTCAAATTCACAAACAGTTTGTGGTCCAGTGTGAAATTATGTATTAGTGTTGCTCTTTTTCTTACCACTTCAATTAAGCACCTTAATCACGAGTGACTGGGAGAAATTATACAAAGGAAGTGATTCTGAATCAACCGTTTAACCGCCGATCACACACAAAGATATCAAATATAACAGTTCTCTCTATGTTTTAGTTACAACAACAATATATGAAATTATGTATCTTTGAAAGCAAACAATATTGAATGATTACAACAAAAGAGTAATTTGTTCGTACCTTTTCAAATTTTACAGGGTTGAAGTCAGTCCCAGGTTGTGCAATGAACTCCACAGAGCTTGTTAAAGAGGAGGCCCAATTGTACTCAGAAAAAACCCTGAATTTCAGCGAAAAATGAAACGCCCTCTGAATCCCATTTTTTCCAATTTAAACACTCCCACTTTCGTTAAAAGTTATATACAATACCAAGCCTGACCCAGCCTAAAGCCTGGGTCACAAATTGGGAGGTCTTGTTTTTTTTTCTTCAAATGTTAAAATAGCATTGTTTTTTGAAAAAAAAAATTAAATTTTAATTGAGTTTTAACTAGGCTAATCGAGCCAATAAAATTTGATAGGGTTAATTTTTATCTAATTCAATATAAAATCCTGAACCAAATTTTCAATAACTAAATTTCTTTTCTAGGCTAAATCTAGTTTAATCATAAGGAGTTGATCCAGCCTGAAAATCAAATTCTGAATTACACGGGTTGACAACCTCGTAAAAACCCTCATGAATTGGTGGTATTATTAGGAAAACCCTCAATAACGGGTTGTGATTTCTAATCTCCTGTAGAAATATATTTATATGATTTCCTTTTTCTTTCAAAAAAGACAAATATATATTATATCATCCTAATCTCTCGATGAGGCTTTATTCGTGAATACCATGCATTTTTTACTTTGATAGTGTAAATCCCACGAAATCAACTCCTGATGCTGAAATTTATCTGAATGTTAATGTTGTGAATCTTGGACAAACAATTAAAGAAGGAAATGAAATACATTTCATCTAAGCTTTTTTTCCCCTTGAGGGAGAGAGCATTTGAGATTTTTTTTATTCAAATTATAATGTTATGTATAGTTAATTTCTCAGAATAAAAAGAATACAGTGGAAAAAACATGAAAATATTTAATTAAAAAAAATAAATTATAATTTTATAGCGAATCTCTATCGTTTTAAAACAAGCAAGAAATGAGATATGTGATCTTCGTCCCAAGTGTTTTCGTGTAATTTATTTTGAGATGATAATTAAGGTTGTCTAAATTTTATAATTATTTTTAAGAACATTGTTTTATTAAAACTTGATTTTTTCCATTTAACTGTTCAACGAAATCTTAACTAAAATGGTTAAAAAATTAAAATGGTTGAGGTGTAAAATGAGAGATTTTTTCCCTCAAAGTATTTATTTTTTTAAGTTGAAAGAATATTTGATAATTTAGCTTAAAAAAAATGATGTAGTGACTTAACATCCTCTCAATTTTTTTTTTGTTGAATAGTATTATTAGTAAAACATTAAAGGGTGTGGCTGTGGCTAAATCCCTGTAACTATATCCATAACATATTATTTACTGTGATAATATTTTATGTTTTTTTTTTAATTTTTTTTAATATTAGATTATTTTAAAATTTATGATTGATAATTTATTTATTTTTATTTTTTTGATTGGTTTATATACTTATATCATGGATTTAATTTTTTTATTTTTTAATATTCAAAATTAAATTTGTTGAAAGCATGCCTTTAAGTTTTTTTATTTGTTTTTTAAATTTATTATAATTTTACTATCTAAATTCCAGATTTAATATATTTACTTAAATTGATCCATATTATTTTATTGGACCACTTTTTTAAAAATAATTTTTTTATTTTATTATTTAACATTGAGTTTATTAGAAATTAGGTTCCATGATCTTTTTTTTTTTTTATATAGTGTTATTTTGATTTCATTACTCCAATTGTAAGTTTAATTGATTTTTACTAGTTGACTTTGTTCATTTTCTTTTAAATTTTTTTTAACTAGGTTTTATTTTTTTATCTGTTTTTTATAAACTTATTTTAATCTTATTATCTAAATCATAAACTGATAAGTTAATTTGGGTCGACTTTATTAATTTGTTATATCATGTCTTAATTGGTTTTTTATTCAATCTTTTATTTATATATCTAGTTTTTTATTCAATCTCATATTTCAATATCATGTTATTTAGGAATTGAGTTTTATTTTTTTTCAAACTGTTATCCGTGGAGTTATCCTGGTAATTTAGTTTTTTTTCTCGATTTTAATTTTTAACATTGAATTTGTTAAAAAATAAAGACAAGGTGGAGCTTTATAATTTTTTTATTTATTTTTTATAAAGTTATCTCATCTTCATGATCATATTTTATTTTGATTTGATTATTATAAGGTTCTCACGGTTTTATGGCCCAGATTATAAATTTAACAGATTAACTCGGGTTAATTCAATACATTATTATCTTAGTATTTAAAATAAATATCATCCAATATGCTACCATACCGATATTTTTAAATTATATTATCAAATATTTATTATATTTTCAGTTAATAATTAAATCTTTTTAATTAAAAAGCACATTAATGAAACCCTTAATTTTTAAATATTTTTAAAATTTTTTAATTGAACCGCATGGGGATGGGGCAATGATATAGGTCCTGTTTAACAATGTGGTTTAATCATATTTTTGAAATTTTTGAAATTTTTGTTAGTTTTAGTTTTTCTAGTGTTATTAGATCATATTAAAATATATATTTTTTTAAAATATTATTTTATTATATTTTTAAATGATAAATGTTTTTAAAAATAATTTTTAATACCGTGCGGAATCCACCCAGTCAGGCAAATTGCATTCAACAAAACACCAGTGAAGATCAGAGACAACAAGGCTAGGATGGTAGAGCGGTCCAAGGTGTCAGGCTCCCATTTTTTTTTTTTGATTTACGTGGGGTGTCTGGGCAGTTTGCGTGCACCATGACTAATCCTCACGGCCTACTGAATACCCTGCAAACCCAATAGGCATATAAGGCACCACGGGGGTGACAGGCGTGCACGCCAGATCTCGAACTCAGGTGCAGTGAAAGGAGACAAGCTCCTTCCACCGCTAGGTCAAATACTGGAATGGGTATGGTCCTCGTGGGAGAGGGCGTGAGTATGGTCCCACTTCTGATAATTTTTTCCACATTTCTAATTGTTTTTTAAACTCCACCTCTTTTTTAAGCTTTCATTGCTGGGCTAATGATTTTCACCTTAGCCCAAAATTTGATATTTATTTTGCAAGGTTTCTAGCAAATATCGAATTTGCGTTAATTAGAACTTCAGGTAAAGTGGTTTTAAAAACCACACGCATATAGTCATATGTCTTTTTGTTAAGGTTGTGCATTTGTCTATTTTATTTTGTTATTTAAAAAAAATGGAAAAGAGGAGGATAAGATTGAGAAGATTTAATTAAATAAAAAAATATTTTTCAGCAAAAAATATGTTTTTGGGAATGATCAACATTGGTCAAGAGATTACTTGATTATAGTTGACACGTTGATACTGCTACTCTGATGAATAGTTATTTTAAACGAATAATTATATAAAATAGATAGATATTTCTTTTTGTTTCAGGTTGATGAATCTTTTTATATATATATATATATATATATATTCTAGTTGACTGCTTTATTTATTTATTTTTGTTTTGAAATGGTTAAATTGTTTGATAAAGTTAAATATGATTTAAGCAAATCTTCTAGTTTTATTATATATTGCTGGTTAATAATTTCTTGCCCTTTATGCTGGATTTTTTTATTTTTTATTTTTTTGTTCTTGCCGAGGAGCAGCAGCAACACAAGACATGATCCCTTGTTTCATATCAAACAAATAAAAGATAGCGAATCCACAGACGATTCCAGTTCTAGGTAGAGGCCGGGCCTTATAATCCAAATCCGAGAAAGAAGCACAGTCCCCATCCATTTTCCTTCAAATGCATCATGAACCCACATGGCATCTCGATATTCTGACCCAGTAACGTTTCAATATTGACTTCCCTTCCATGGTAGTCACGACAAAGCATGCCCGACATGTCCTTCTAGGCACCTCAAAGAGATGGCTCGGCCCCCCTTTGGCCACATTGTCTACATATTCGTTGCTTCGTTTTCTTGCCAGGAACATCCGGGGTTTTCAATTTCTTGGAATTAAATATAAGTTCAATTATTATTGTTTTTTTTTTTTTTTGGTGTAAAACCTCAAATCAATCCTCAGCCTATGCACCGATTCTCACTGGGTCTCTAAACTGAAACTCTTCTCAACTAGATCCGTAAAGTATCATGTTTTGCTCAATCTAGTCCTTCAATCCATGCTCATCAATGATCGAGGATAATTAAATTGAATCAAATATTGAATTTCACTCTTCCTCATGCTGAAAATATTTTGCAGTGCTGAAAATATTTTCACCTGATAGTATGAGTTTAATAGTCAGGAATAACATATCACTCTCCCTCGTGTAAAATGTACAAGAAAAATAAGAAAGACAAGATTCCGTGGTTTGATACACTAAACTCTTCAACAGGATCAGAAAAGATGGCTGGTCCTTGCGATGGTACTAGATAGGCACTGTATTCTTTACTATTTATTTAACTATGATAATTGTGTTTTGATTTTACAAGTTAGGAAATTATCATCCAATGTCTTGAAGGAAACAAACAGAGGGGTGGTCCGGTAGCGGGGACAACAAGGATGTGCTTTTGTTCGGGCCTGTTCTGTCTCTTGCTGAGTATATTTCTAGCAATCGGAGAGAGTAACGAGCCAAAATGTTGTAGATAGCTGGTGCTAGGATCACGTACGACTTATTTGCAAGCATATTTTGTCCATGACCCCCCTTTTGTGATGCACTCTTGCTTGATTTCATGTGATTATCAAATACTACAGAATCCCTTTAATAATGCATATGTGTGTCTCTTGCTTGCAATATTGGCTAAGCCGCTGTTAACAAGTGATGGGTAAAACTTTTTGAATCTATATTTTGATGTTACGTGAAAGAAACTTAACCCATTTCAAGGTAATAACCCAACAGAATTTGTGTATGGCAGATTTCAATTTCCAGTGTACTTGGATTTAATTTTGTGCTAAATTCAAGATTAGTCTGACAACTTTATCTAATAAGTTGTCATACTTAATATTAATTGAATCTAAATAATATATAAATTAGGTAAATTATTAGATCCAATATATTTAAATTCAATTATTTGTTAAATTTAAATAAATATGAATTGATAAATTGTTTAGCCTGATATATTTAAATTCAATTATATATTAAGTTCAAATCAACATGAATCTGACAAGTTATCAAATTTAATATATTTGAATTCAGTTATTAGCTAAGCTAAACTCTTAGCTAAGCTAAACTCTAAGCTAAAGTCAATATGTGTACATCAATGTATTAATCTAATATACTTATAATGTATTAAGCACAACTCAGTGT